ATTTTTAAAAAGAGTAGCCTATTAAAAAGCACACCCAGTGCTTCCCTGGTGGCGCAGTGGTTGGGAGTCCGCCTGCCGATGCAGGGGACAAGGGTTCGTGCCCCGGTCCGGGAGGATCCCACACGCCGCGGAGCGGCTGGGCCCGTGAGCCGTGGCCGCTGAGCCTGCGCGTCCGGAGCCTGTGCTCCACAGCGGGAGAGGCCACAGCGGTGAGAGGCCCGGGTACCGCCAAAAAAAAAAAAAAAAAGAATCATTGAGTTTCAGGTGTATCTCTTTCACACATCATGGAGTTAGGTTTTGCTTTTGAGCCAATTTGAAAAATCTCTTCTTTTTAAACCCACAAGTGAAGTCCGTTCACATGTATTTACATGGCTGTGTTTGGTCTCAATTCTGTCAGTTATATCACGTTGCAATTACTGTGTGCATTGCGTTTCACTTACTGTTTCCCTGTGCGGTGTGTCCTTTTTGCTTTGTTCATTTATTCTGGTACTTAGGAAGGTCTGTGTTTTCACTCTAGTGATAATCTTTAGATTAAGCCTCTTTACAGTGTAATTGTGTTACCGAGTCCAAGCTCGCTCTGCTCGCCCGCTGCACAACAGGCCAATGAATCGGACACGAGGTGCTGAAGCAAGGAGTGCTTATTCAGGAAGCCTGCAGACCAAGAAGATGGCAGAATAAGTCTCAAAGTAACCATCTTATCGGGGTTTGGGTGCCAGTTTCTTGTGTAGCACAGAGAGGGGGAGGAGATGAGGAAGTAAAGTAAAAAGGTGATAAGTTTTGCAAATATCCCGCGGAATGGCCAGCCTCGGGGAGAGCATGTGTTCATTTCTTCTTTCTTGCAGCCATCCCCAGGTGGACAGGGTCCGGATGTTTCCCTGAACAAAGGCACTTTGATTTAACCTTCAGGCAGAGGGTCAGGGCTCCCTGAGGCAGGCCATTATGTGTAGACAGTATCCTTTTAGTGAACAAAAGCGGTGGAAAGCAAACGTTAAAGAAACAGATCAAACATGTAGTCAGATTTGGTTCTTCCCTGTTACAATTGGTGTCCTCGAAGAAGAAAATTAAAACATTACAGAACATTTAAAACTATAACCCTTGAAAACATTCCAGAGATAAAAGACATGAACCTACATATTTGAAAGGACCCACTGGGTACCAGGAAAGATTGAACCAGAATGATCGCTGAGACACATCCCAGCCAACCGGCCCCATGGAACCCACCTTCACAGCCTTTCTCAACCATCCCGCCCCGCTTCACCTTCTGCCCCCCGGGGTTGGGCTGTTTGCTGCCTCCTTTGCCTCCAGAAGTTCATGCATATAGAGCTCACCTGAGGGCCCACCTGGCTGTGACTAAGCTACTCCCATCTTGAACGTACACATCGTGAGAACAGACATCTCAGGTGCTGCTGTCTCATCTTAGTCCTCGTGCATTATGACAAAGACAAAAGTGACAAAGAATAACCTTAAACTTGTCTAAGAAACCCCTTCAGCCCTGACCAAGTCAAGCCACTCAATCGCAGGGGTTTTACCTGTGTTGGGATTCTTCAAAGATTTCCTTCCTCATTTTCTAATGAGGCTAATAGGTCAGTGGAGAAACTAGACAAACTAGACAAGGCACTGAGCAAGGTCTGCTCTAAAGGGCACAAAGGTGCTCAGCCTGATGGGTCTTGCCTGTTTGCAGGTGTTGTGGGTGAATGTGTCCCCAAAAGATATGTGTGCATTCGAATCCCCTGTGAATATGAACTTATTTGGAAATAGGGTCTCTGCAGATATAGTCAAGTTAAAATGAGTTTGTTAGGGTGGATCTTGGTCCATACGACTGTGTCCTTCTAAGAGAAAGAGGGAGATTTAGATGCAGAGACAGACACACACACACACACACACACACACACACACACACACAGAAGCCATGTGAAAACACAGATGGATTGGAACAGTGTGTCTATAAACCGAGGGTTGCCAGAAGCCACAAGAGACGGGGAAGGATCCTCCCCTGGGGCCTTCAGTGCAAGGCTGACACTTGGTTCCAGATGTCTGGCTTCCAGAAATGTGAGAGAAGCCATTTCTGTTGTTTCAAGATGCCCCGTTTGTGGCAATTTGTTATGGCGGCCCTAGGAAGACACAAAAAGCCTTGGAGACTCACCGGAATGGAAATAAAATTAGGATTTCTTCTGATGAGAAATTCACTATTTAAAAAAAACCTTTATGCTATTAGAATCAATCACACTTGCTTGTTAGCTAATAATAATTATACAACATGAAAAAGCAGACTTTATTCCTAAGTGTCACCTTTCATAGTGATTCAATTTAATAGGTTAATTTTTTTTTTAAGTATTGTTTATTTATTTATTTTTGGCTGCATTGGGTCTTCGTTGCTGTGCACGGGCTTTTTCTAGTTGCAGCGAGCAGGGGCTACTCTTTGCTGCGGTGCGTGGGCTTCTCATTGTGGTGGCTTTTCTTGTTGCGGAGCACGGGCTCTAGGTGCGCAGGCTTCAGTAGTTGTGGCACGTGGGCTCAGCAGTTGTGGTTCGCAGGCTCCAGAGCAGAGGCTCAGTAGTTGTGGCTCACTTGCTTAGCTGCTCCGAGGTGTGTGGGATCTTCCTGGACCAGTGCTCGAACTCATGTCCCCTGCATTGGCAGGCGGATTCTTTTTTTTTTTTTTTTAACATCTTTATTGGGGTATAATTGCTTTACAATGGTGTGTTAGTTTCTGCTTTATAACAGAGTGAGTCAGTTATACATATATATATGTTCCCATATCTCTTCCCTCTTTGTCTCCCTCCCTCCCACCCTCCCTATCCCACCCCTCCAGACAGCCACAAAGAACCGAGCCGGTTTCCCTGTGCCATGCGGCTGCTTCCCACTGGCTATCTACCTTACGTTTGTTAGTATATATATGTCCATGTCTCTCTCTCGCCCTAACACACCTCACCCTTCCCCCTCCCCATATCCTCAAGTCTGTTCTCCAGTAGGTCTCTGTCTTTATTCCTGTTTTACCCCTAGGTTCTTCATAACATTTTTTTTTCTTAAATTCCATATATATGTGTTAGCATACGGTATTTGTCCTTCTCTTTCTGACTTACTTCACTCTGTATGACAGACTCTAGATCTATCCACCTCATTACAAATAGCTCAATTTCGTTTCTTTTTATGGCTGAGTAATATTCCATTGTATATATGTGCCACATCTTCTTTATCCATTCATCCGACGACGGGCACTTAGGTTGTTTCCATCTCCGGGCTATTGTAAATAGAGCTGCAATGAACATTTTGGTACATGACTCTTTCTGAATTCTGGTTTCCTCAGGGTATATACCTAGTAGTGGGATTGCTGGGTCATATGGTAGTTCTATTTGTAGTTTTTTAAGGAACCTCCATACTGTTCTCCATAGTGGCTGAACCAATTCACATTCCCACCAGCAGTGCAAGAGTGTTCCCTTTTCTCCACACCCTCTCCAGCATTTATTGTTTCTAGATTTTTTGATGATGGCCATTCTGACTGGTGTGAGATGATATCTCATTGTAGTTTTGATTTGGCAGGCGGATTCTTAACCACTGCGCCACCAGGGAAGTCTCAAGGTTATTTTTTTTTTAATTTACTTTTTTTGCAGTACACGGGCCTCTCACCGTTGTGGCCTCTCCCGTTGCGGAGCACAGGCTCCGGACGCGCAGGCTCAGCGGCCATGGCTCACGGGCCCAGCCCCTCCGCGGCATGTGGGATCCTCCCGGACCGGGGCACGAACCCGTGTCCCCCGCATCGGCAGGCGGGCTCTCAACCACTGCGCTACCAGGGAAGCCCCAAGGTTATTTTTTAAAGATAGGATTATTTTGAAAATATGGTTGTTCTTAGGATTAAATAATATTTTTAAGTGCTTAACATAATGCCTGGCACATAGTAAGTTCTAATTTGTTAAGTAAAAGAAACAGGGCAATATCACCCTGATTAAGACAGAGTGTTGGGCGTCATAGTTTAGCCCACACACAGCTAAAAGCATTTTAAAAAAGGACAGAGACTGGGGAGAAATAATGTTAAAAGGTAGTTTTAATAAAGCACAGGAAGTCCACTTCACAGACCACTTTAGGTATCCTCACTTTACAGGTGAAATGCCATTCAGCAGGTAAGCACCATGCATGCAGCAGCCCACCTGAGCCTGGGACTCGCATCATCTCCGAGACAAGCCCTGTCACCGGCATCACTACTCAAGGATGCAGCCCGCCCCTGGGGCCACGTCAGCCCCAGCGCTCTAAGGCCTGATGCTGCCTTCCGACAGAAGGAAAGCAGATACAGACTGACCTGCAGCATTTCTGGTCTGCAGGGAGGAGTGCCCACTGACTGGTGGTGCTAGCTGGCACTCGGTCATGTACCCAGATTTCCTCTGGCGAGGAGAGAGAAGCCTGCAGCACCC